ACACCTTGTTAAAACTGACTTAGAACCTGGTCTTTATCTTCTATGTATTGTATTGGTATGTTGTATTGTTAATGTATTTGCATTCTGTTTATCATTCCTAACTTCTTTCAAAAGAGCTATCAAAGACATCTTTGCTGCTTACCAAGTGGACCCAGGTTACATTGAAAAGATTGAGGTAATCAAATGAATTAAATTTTTTTTTCTCCAACTAGTGTGATAACCATTTGAAAATATTTAAAATCCTGTATCCACATGGCAGTTTGTGTGGGTCCAAGAGCAGTAGAATGCAGACACAAATCCAGATAAATCTGTAATTGTATGGCAATGTCTGCAATTGTTGCTTAAAAGCTATTTTTGTGTAAGTAGCTTTTACTGCTGATTAAGATTATAAGCACTTTTTTCCAGAATGCTATATTTTGTAGAATACTGCCTTGAACATGGTGCTGGGCATAAAGTCTTAAATTATTGTATTGGGGCGGCGGGATCTCTGCAGTTCCAGTTTTTTTGAATTAAGAAGTCTGCACATTTACCGAAGAGTTCTTGTTTCAGCTTCCATTGGCCAGTTCAAAAGTTCAGGGATCAAATGATGTGTGATGTGAATGTAAAAAGTCTTAACAAGGCATATACTTGGATTTCTAGTTAACCTTTTGGCTAACTGGCAGCTGACCACAAAATAAAAATTCTCTTAAGCTGTCCTTCTGCCCCTCTGTCTTTAAAATATAATTTTCACCAAGATTTCTTTCCCCAGTTGCATTACACTTTTGAGTGTCTTAAGACAAACGTTGAACTCAAACTTAGTCTTTTTTTGCCTTTCTTTAGTATCTTGCAGAAGACCGTTATATAACCGTGGACTTGAAACAAAATTTGACTGTGCAGACACCATCTGATCTGGCTACTGCAGCGTATTACCTGGAGAAGGATGTAAGTGGCATCAAACATTCTTGCCAAAGTAGGTGCTCACTGTAGCTCACCCTTCTCCCCATCCCGAAAAATACCCTGAGTTTGGAATACAAATTTTCACTAAAGCCAAAAATCCAGGAGACGGGAGTATTGGAGGAGGCTCTGGCCCACGAATCCAAAGGCTTAAGCACATGTTCTAGGGAAAGGAATTCGAATTCCACTGCAGGAGGTGGTGGAACTGAAATTTAGTTAATAAATCTAGAATGTTGCTGGTGACTAGTTTTTTTTTTAAAAAGAAAAAAAAAAAAATGCTAATACCCTTCAGGAAAGAATCTGACCTCTGAGATTAGATCCACAAAAAGTAGTTAAATTTTAACTAACCTCTTGCAATGTCCAGTAGGACAGACTTCAAGGGCAAACAGGGATGACCAATTCAGACTTGTCACATCCCTTTGGGGTAGGATGATTGATTAAAATTCTTCAATGAGGAAAGTGATTGAAGTCAATTGTCTTGATGTTCCTCTAACGTAGAATGCTTTGGGGCTGATTGAATAATCTACTGTAAGGCTTTAAACCTAATTCTTTATGCTATGAGATTGTACTTCCCAAAGTGCATTTAATTGCTAGATGTAACTCATGATGGATTTTGACTAGCTACAAGGCAACATTCATCTGTATAACCCTTTCTTTCCCCTCCTTACCAGGTCAAGGGTAACACCTTGTTCTCCTCCACATATAATCGATCAATTCAGGATGATGGAGTCCCATTTAATGGAGAAAAGCTTAGTTTTGAGGAAGCCTATGTGTATTATATTGATTCAAAGAATCCAGAGTTCTCCATGAAGCGAATGACTCCTGGCATTATTGCTGTCATTGTGGTGGTCTGCCTAGCCATAGTTGCTGGACTTGTTGTGCTTGTAAGTATAAACAGAACTTAAAGTTGTTTGTCTAGGATATAACTTTTGGTACAATATTACCTCCTAAATGAAGTGCTGGATAAAGTATTTTTTATTTTTCACTGGTGCCAATTGGTGATCTTTAGCAATCAAATTGAATTTGAATTATAGCCTACAGGATGCTCTATAGCTGAGTGTAAACAACAGAAATCAGCATAGCTTTGACATGTCCTGCTCTGTGTTTTACAGCTGAATCAGCAATGATCTTGTGTAAATTGAGGAATATCTAGATATTTTCCCAACCTACCTGTTCAGAGAGCTAACACACACCACTAAAGCAGGTGGGACTTGAAACTGACCCTCTTGGTCCAGAGGTGAAGACACTACCACAAGAGCCTCCAATTGAGGGACTCCTATGATCCCCTCCGATGCTAGCTCATTTAGAGATTGACATGAAGCAAATGCACACAAATGGGTCTGAAATAGATCAATGAACAAATGATTTGGTCCTGTTCCAAAGTGTGGTTTTTTAAAGCTATGAAATTTTTTTTAAGATGTTCATAGTGTGCACTCAATTATACATCCACTACCCCAATCCCAGGTATCTGAGGAAAAGTTGTGTGTATCCACTGAAGTTTAGAAGAACATACATTCTTCTAAAATCCTATGAGGGCTCCACAAAGTGGGTGCTGAAAGGCTACTCCCCTGTGGGAGAGACAGAACTGAAGGGACACCTATATTTATTTCATAGAATCCCCACATTTTGTGGGAGTAGACCATTCCGCCCGTCCGAGCATCCCACCCAGACCCATCCCCATCCCTCTAACCTCTTGCATTTCCCATAGCTAATTCACCTAACCTACACACCTGTGGATGCTACTGGGCAATTTAGCATGACCAATCCACCTAACCTACACATCTGTGAACTGTGCAAGGAAACCAGAGCAGCTGTGGAAACCCACACCCACACAGACACAGGACAATGTGCAAACTCCACAGTGTCAGCCCAGGTTGGAATTAAACCCAGGTCCCTGGTGCTGTGAGGCAGCAGTGCTAACCACTTTTATTTTCAGATGTACATAAGAAATTTGGGCTTGGCACTTGGGTGCTGGCTTCACAGGCTGTTTCTTACTCATTGAATATTAAGCCAGAGAGAAATTCTTGACTGATAAGAGGTTAGCGTATTGAGGGTGGGCAGGAATATAAAGATGAGGCTGTAATCTGATCAGCCATGATTTAGCAGGCTCTAAGGGGCCAAATGTTTGGCTGTTCCAAATTTGGATGTTCATGAGATTACAAAGCTGTACTTGCCAAAGAATAAGTTTCAACTTCTAAAATGTTTTAATGGCTTATTTCTTCTCCAGTTCCTTACCAGAAGGAAGGCTGCAAAGGCCCATGTATATCAAAAGGCTGAGGTAAGGTTTTTGTTTTACCACCTTGAGTTGCAGTTTTTGTTTTTTTTTTAAAATTACACTTCTGTTTCAATGTTTGCATTCTTTCATTACAGGGAAGAGAATTGGATGAAATTCAGAAGCAGCAGTTGACTACCTAATCTTCCTAGCAAAGATGTTAGTTGCAAATCTCACTCTGAATTTCAGAGATCATTATAAAATGAGGCAATGCAAATGAACGGACTCCTGGTTTGGGATTCTCTAAAAGGTTGCTGTGCAGCTCTTTAATTTCCATTCATTTTGAACTTAATTTAACTGCAATCCAACCTTGTCATGTGTATTTGGAAAGAAGATCTCTTAAACTGGTACTGTTAAAGGATGTTTTCTTCCCCTCCCACAAAAGGAGATGGCTATCCTATTGGAGTCAGCCATATTTTTATTGGGTTCTAATGATTTTGTACTTCCTCAGTCTGGAATTTTAATTTCTTGGACTGTTATTATTTTAGGTCACTGCTTTTATACTTCAGTACTTCTATTGAAGTGTAATGTTTAAATGGCTTTGTAAAATTCTTTTTAATAAAGACTTAAACTTCTGAAGTGATTTTTGTTTATTCATTTGTGATGATGCCTTGACTTTTGATTGCAATCCATCTTTTTCACTTTTTTCATTCTCTTTTGCTTTTGCATGCCCAGGTACCTGAATTCTGGTAAACTTGTTCATCTTGTATTTTATAACCTTCCACAACTAGATTTGCCATAAATCCTTAAATTTGCTATTCTGAGCTGTACATTAAAGTATAATTTTAAAGTTTTTTTTTCCAACCCAAAGTGCTACGGAAACTTGTACACTACACTAAACATCTCTTTACAACATTGAATTGTAACTTGCGGGTTTGAGTTGGCCACTCGGCTCTTCAAAATTATGTATGGAACTTTACTACAACCAAGCAAAGTTCTGAATATCATCAGCTTTTTTTTAAATGAACTGGATAGAGCGAGGAAATACTTCACTGTAACACTAGTTTTGAGCTTTTTTTAAACACAACAACAGCATCCATTTATTGGTGCTAAATACAAAATATATCAAAATTCCAACTTCAGGCCGTGCTAGTTTTGAGAATTTGGTAATGGGGTTCTTAAAAGTGTTTTTAAAGCATGCACACATTTAATGTAAGTCAGTGATTACAGAATGAGCTACCATCCTATTTGAAACCTATCTTTGTTGAATATCTACATCTTGTATGGAAGAAAATTGAATAGCGTGCAGGATTAATACCTTTAAAGTTGTTTTTGTTTCCTAGACATTGAGGAAGCAGTTCCCAGAGTACGCCCCCCCCCCACCCCTGCCACCAGATGTGTGGATGTCAATGTTGAGCCACTTCAGAGTGCTTTACTCTGTAATGTGGTTGATCCATGCCCATCGAAACCTATGTCACAGCAGCCTTTGATTGGGGGAAAATCTCTAGTTTGCAACATTTGCATCCTCTAAGTGATGAACAGCCATCTTCAAGGTGGTTTAATGGCACAATCCTTTTATCAGGCATAAAGGCTTGCCATTTAACAGAATTTATAAGCCTGTTTTGATTTTTTTTTTTTTTTTCTACAGGCCTTTTTTGCGGATGAGTGGCTTAACTCCTGAATCTTAACCTCTCCTACCTGAAAGGGAGGAGTGTGATGGAAGATTTTTACACTTGCCAGGCCCTGATTTAACTTTATCACTGTTGGAGATAGTAGATGTAGTTTCTTTTATATGGAGATTGTGATGAAGTTAGCCAGGTGGACCTCAATGAGTTCCCTGTTTTGGACCAGGTTAATAACCCAGAGGGCCTAGGCTGACCGATAAGTATGAGGGTGTCAGATATGCTGCTCGCTGACAGCTGCCTCTTGGGGAACTAGACCAGTGTCAACGTCTTTCCATCTGTAAATAAAGGGTGGTGTGGTGATGGGACACTGGGTTCCTGGGGTTATTTCATCTTACTGTACAAATTTGGTGCATTTTTTATGCAGAAAAGTCTCACTAGTTAAAACTCAGCAGGGGAAGTTTTTTGAAAAAAGAACTCTGGTATCTTCACTGTAATAAAGTAGGCCACATGAAGTTCCAGTGTTGGTGGTTTAAGAAAATCTCTGGGGGAAAATGGATGTGATTTTAAAAGAAGCCAGTGGAGTTTATTAAAGTGGTAATGGAGATCCCAGTGGAAGCTAAAGAGCTGCAACAGCCTGACCCAGAGGTTGGTTGAGAAGAAACTTTAAAGAATTTATCTGTGTGGTAAGGTTTACCACCTTTTACCAGGTGGAGTAGGTAAAGAAATTGAAACTTTAAGAGATACAGGAGCAAGCCAATCTTTAGTGAGAGACAAGGAGATATGTACTTTGGAATGAGAATTGACAGAAAAAGGTAGTAGTATGTGGAATTCATGGCGAGAAGAGCAATGTTCTGTTATGTAAGGTAAGGTTGGAGAGTTTGGTGAAAAGTGGTGGTAACCACAATTGAGAAATTCTCAGTTCCAGAAATATACTTCATCCTTGGTAATGGTACAGCTGGATCACAGGAGGGAGTGATGCCTACTATGGTTGAAAAACCAGTGGAAAATCAGACAACTGAGGTGTTACATCAAGTATATCCTGGGATTTTTTTTTCCTGTCTCTATGATAAGATCACAAACCCACGGGTTGAAACAGGAGGAGAAATCAAGAATAAAGATAAGCAAGTTGAAGTTCAATTATAAGATAGTACGTTTGATCAAATGGTTAAGAAAAAACAAGAACAGTTGGAGGACAACATGGATATTTTTAGTTCAGAGGTTAGTTGAATTACAAAAAAAAAGCAGTTACATCGAAAAGCATACACAGAAGAAGAAGAATCTGAGTGTATCCCAGAATTTTACTACCTTAAAAATGAAGTCTTGATGAGAAAATGGACACCATTACATATTCAGACAGATGAAAAGTGGGCAGAAGTTGATCAAGTTGTATTACCGGTGGGCTATAGAAAGGAGGTGTTGAAGGTAACGTGAGATACCAGTAGGAGGCCTTTTGGGAGTGAGGAAAACTCAAGCCAAAACACAAAAACATGTTTATTAGCCTGGACTGCGTAGAGATTTGGTTGAATTTTGCTGGACATACTTGTCAGGTAATAGGAAAACCTCAGGCAGTGATAAAACCAGCACCCTTAATACCCATTCTTGCATTTAGGGAACCTTTTACAAGAGTCTTAATTGATTGCATAGGACCCCTCGTAAAAAAAAAAAGTGGGAATCAGTATTTGTTGACCATAATGAATGTCTCTATTGGATTTCCAGAGGCCATTCCATTATGCAGAATCACCATTAAAAAGATTGTAAAAGATTTACTCAATTTTTTTTATTAGATAAGGGTTACCCACAGAAATATAATCAAGTCAAGGATCAAATTTTATATTAAAATTATTCAGGGTAGTTATAGATAGCTTAGGAATAAAACAATTCAAATCCACTGCATACTATCCAGAATCTCCGGGAGCATTAGAATAGTGGCATTAAACTTTAAAGATTATGTTGAGGGCTTATAGTCAACCTATCCAGAGGTATAAAGGAATACCTTTTGTACTACATGCAATTAGGGATGCCCCTAATGAATCAACTAAATTCAGGCAATTTGAATTAGTTTTTGGGCGTGAGGTGAGAGGACCACTGAAGTTAATTAAGGAGAAATTGGTGGATCAGAGTTCAGAGACTACATATTTGGACTATGTATCAAATTTTAAGGAGAGATTAAATAGAGTGAGTGAATTGGCTAGACAGCATTTAAAAGTAACATAGCACATGATGAAACAGAAAGCAAATGAGATCAAAAATTTATAATTTTGCTGGTGGAGATAAAGTGTTAGTGTTACTACTAGTGGTAGCTCAACCTTTAAAGGCAAAGTTTTGTGGGCTTTATCAAATCGAAAGGAAGTTGAGTGAGGTGAATTATTTGATAAGAATGCCAGATAGAAGGAAATCTCACAGAGTGTGTCATGTGAATATGTTCAGAAGGTATTTTGATAGGGAAGGAAAGCAAAAGGAGAATGCAGTACTGGTTACAATGCAGAGTGAAGAACTAAGTTCAGATGACTCTGAATTGGACATTCCTCAAATGTAATCAGACAATGAAAAAGTTCTCAAAAATGGGATAAATTATTGAGTTATCTTCCAGAGGAAAATCAAAATGAATTGAAAGAGTTATTACAATATATGGAGAGATATGTGGGAATAATCCGGGAAGTACTAATCTGATTACGTATGATGTAGATACAAGAAATCCTGTTCCAATTAAGCAAGGTCATTATAGAATTAGCCCTTTAAAAGGTTCAAAAAGAGATTGAATGTATGCTCAGATATGGCACAATCAAAGTGAGTTGCAGCGAATGGAGCTCACCCATAGTAATGGTGCCAAAACCAGATGGTACCCAATGTTTATGTGTGGACTATCGCAATGTCAATGCAGTTACAAAATCTGATTCATATCCGATTCCACATTTGAAAAACTGTATTGAGACATGGGACAAGCAGCTTATATTTCTAAGTTGGACTTACTCAAAGGATACTGGCAGATACATTTATTCAAGAGAGCAAAGGAAATTTTGGCTTTCGTGACACCGAATGGACTTTACCAGTTTAAAGTCATTTGGTACAAAAAATGCACCAGCCACATTTCAAAGACTAACCAATAAAGTAATTTCAGGATTACCTAACTGTGTGATGTACATGGACGATTTAGTGACCTTTAGTTACACCTGGAAGGAACATTTGGAGCATCTAGCACAATTATTCGATCAATTTCTGGAGGCAGACTTGTGACAAATCTGGTTAAGAGTGAATTCACAAAATCCCAAGTCACGTTCCTGGGCCGTGTTTTGGACATGGACAGATGGCCCTACAGGATGTGAAAACATAGGTTACTGGGGAGTGTCTCATACCATCAATGAAAAGGAAAGTACTACGATTCCTGGGACTAAATGGTTTTTATCAGAATTTTGTACTGAATGTTTTTGGTCCACTGGCTGACCTGTTGAAGAAGTGCAAAAAATGTCAGTGGATGGAAGAGAGTCAGCAGGCATTTGTCAGCCTGAAAGCTGTGTTAACCACCATCACAATGTTAGCCACACCCAATTATGCAAAGCCATTCAAGGTGGCTACTGACCTGAGTGATGTGGGTGTTGGTATTTTTGCTGGTGGATTTGAAACATTACTGCTTTTGATCCTTCTTTAGATTGTTATGGGTACCCTTAGAACAAAGAACAGCACAGCATGGACAAAGGCCCTTCGTCCCACCAAGCCGATGGCGACACATGCACCTTTCTAAACCAAAATCCTTTTGCCTATGCAGTTGCAAATCTCTCTAGTAAGACCATAACCATAGTAAATACAAGTAAATGCAATGTCTGTGAGCCGTCAATTCAGCTGAAAAAATTGGGTGTGCCGTTGAATTGTTTGCCTCATTGAAAGGATACTGAAAAGGTTGGGATTTACTGGTTTGGAAGAAAGCGGGGTGATCTCAGCAAAGCCTATAAAACTCTAACAGGACTAGAACAAGGTTCCTGATAGCAGGGAGTCCAGAAACAGGGGTCACAATCTAAGGATA